GGAGTCTGGGGGTGCTGAGCCTGGGGGTGCGGAGCCTGGGGGTGCTGAGCCTGGGGGTGCGGAGCCTGCGGGTGCTGAGTCTGGGGGTGCTGAGTCTGGAGGTGCTGAGCCTGGGAGTGCTACACCTGGAGGAGCTCTCTCCTCACAGCAGCTGCGTGAGTGGTACTTACAGTACTGCAGCCTCAGGAGAGGTGCTTCTGGAGCTAGGAGTGCGGCTGGAGCTGGTGCTAGTGCTTCCCCTCCTAGGCGGGAGCTGCCCTCTCCCCAGCGGCTCCGAGAGTGGTACGCACGGCGCTGCAGTCTCCAGAGTGGCGCTCCTAGTGTCGCGGACCCAGCTGCTGGAGGTGCTGCTGCTGGCGGTGCTTCTGGCGCTGCTAGTGGTACTGCTGGTGCTGCTGGAGCTGCTGGAGGTGCTGCTGGTGCTGGGGCTACTGTAGCTGCTGGAGGTACTGCTTCTTCTGGAGGTGCTACTGGTGCTGCGGACCCTGGAGTTGGAGCTGCTGCTGGTGCTGAGGACCCGGGCGTTGGAGCTGCTGCTGGTGCTGCGGACCCGGGCGTTGGAGCTGCTGCTGGTGCTGCGGACCCTGGAGTCGGCGCTGTTGCTGGTGCTGCGGACCCTGGAGTTGGAGCTGCTGCTGGTGCTGAGGACCCTGGAGGTGGTGCTGCTGCTGGTGGTGAGGACCCTGGCGCTGGTGTCTCTGCTGGTTCTGGAGACGCTGCGCGGCCGCGGCCGTACTTCGTTCCGCTCCTTCAGCAGGTTCTTGGTCAGCCTCCTCCTCCTTGTCCTCCTCCCTCCTTAGAGTGTCCTCCGTCTGTCCAGTCGCAGTCACAGTTACCGTCTGCCTCCCCTCTCCCTGGTCCTTCTCCTTACACTGGTCCGACTGGAGGTCTTACGGAGCGTCGTGAGCCTGAGTCTCGTCCTGCGTCGCCTGAGTCTCGTCGAGCGTCGCCTGTACGTGCTGCTCACACTGGTCGTCGTGTCCCGCGTCAGCGTCCTCCTGCTGTCCCAGGCACTCACCAGATGGCGCTTCGTCCTTCCACTGCTCCCCAGCGTGTCCCTCTCCCGTCTCCTCCTGCGTCCTCTCTTCCTGCTCTTGCTGACCCTGAGTCTGACTCCCTTCGTGCTACCAGTCCTACTGTCACGCGTCTCCTGGCTACTGTTGTCACTGACCCTTCCTTTGAGTCCACTGCTGCGTCTGCCTTAGTTGCTGAGCTTGTCGACTTTGCTGCCGCTTGTCGTCTAGACTACGCCGCTAGCCTAGTTGCTGAGTCTGAGTCTGTCTGTCCTCCGTCCGTCGGGGGTGAGTGTGCTCTTGGCACGGACGTCCTTGAGGACAGGCAGGAGGAGTTTGAGTGCTTTGCCGCTGCTTTACCTCATCTCGTGTCCATGCTAGTTGCCCCTGAGGGAGACCCGGATGCACCAGACATCCCGACTCCGCGCTCTTACGCAGAGGCGATAGAGGGTCCCTACTCCTCTCAGTGGCAGACAGCCATGGACGCAGAGATGGCTTCCTGGAAGTCCACATGCACCTACGTCGACGAGGTTCCCCCACCTGGGGCGAACATCGTCAGTGGCATGTGGATTTTCAGGGTGAAGCGGCCGCCGGGTTCTCCGCCTGTCTTCAAGGCGCGTTACGTTGCACGAGGCTTCAGTCAGCGAGAGGGAGTTGACTTCTTCCAGACCTTCTCCCCGACCCCGAAGATGACCACTCTTCGGGTTCTGCTGCACGTCGCCGCTCAGCGTGACTACGAGCTCCACTCTCTTGACTTCAGCACTGCTTTCCTACAGGGCAGCCTGCACGAGGAGATCTGGTTGCGCCGCCCACCTGGCTTCACTAGGTCGTTCCCTCCTGGTACCCAGTGGAGCCTCCGGCAGCCAGTCTACGGTCTCCGACAGGCGCCACGTGAGTGGCACGACACACTGAGGACTATACTTGCGGCTCTTGGGTTCGCTCCTTCTACTGCTGACCCGTCGCTGTTTCTACGCACCGACACCTCACTGCCGCCGTTCTACGTCCTTGTGTACGTCGACGACTTGGTCTTTGCCACTGCTGACACTGTCGCACTCGCCCACGTGAAGTCGGAGCTGCAGAAGAGACACACGTGCACAGACCTGGGTGAACTGACAAGCTATCTTGGCTTGCGGATCACCCGGGACAGAGCACGGCGCACCATCACCTTGACTCAGTCACACATGGTGCAGCAGGTCCTTCAGCGCTTCCGCTTCACGTACTCCTCGCCTCAGCCCACTCCTCTGCCTACCGGTCACTCGCTCTCAGCTCTGCCTTCGGATGAGTGCGTAGAGCCGAGTGGCCCGTATCCAGAGCTTGTGGGCTGCCTCATGTACCTGATGACCTGCACTCGACCTGACCTTGCATACCCTCTTAGCATCCTTGCGCGCTATGTCGCTCCTGGCCGTCACCGGAAGGAGCACATGGATGCCGCTAAGAGGGTGTTGCGCTACTTGTGCAGTACGTCGGGCATGGGGCTAGTGCTTGGAGGACGAGACCGAGTTGTACTCACTGGACACTCAGACGCTTCTTGGGCTGACGACCAGGCTACTCAGCGGTCGTCTCAGGGTTACACCTTCAGCCTTGGCTCTGGTTCAGTTTCTTGGCGTTCTACACGCTCGTCTTCTGTTCTCAGCTCCAGTTGTGAGGCTGAGATCTACGCCACAGCCATGGCTGCACAGGAGTTACGCTGGCTCACCTACCTGTTGACCGACTTGGGAGAGCGGCCTCGTTCTCCTCCAGTGCTGTACGTCGACAACAAGGCTGCCATTGCCTTGTGTGAGGAGCACAGACTGGAGCACAGAACGAAGCATATCGCTCTGCGCTACTTCCTTGCTCGAGAGCTGCAGCAGCGCGGTCAGCTTCGTCTGCGTTACGTGGCCACTCGGGCCAACACTGCTGATGTGTTCACCAAGGTGCTTCAGCCTTGTGACCATCAGCTCTTCTGTACTGTTCTAGGCCTTGTGCCTACTGGGCCTCACTTGCTTACTTCTTGACTCTACTTGTACTGTGATCTCTATATATATGCCTGCATGTTTACTCTTGCTAGGTTGTGATCACTGTATCTCTTGTTATACTATCAACCTGCATGTGAACTGGTCTTGTGACCACTTGCTTGTGCTCAGAATTTGTGTGGTTTCCTTGAGATCCACCCTGAGCTTGCTTTGCTTTGCTTTGACTGGTCTTGTGACCATTTGGTTGTCTCCCACTTAGCCTATGGGGGTGTGTCAAACATTATATGTTTATATTGTGTAGGCTATAGTGGGTTTAGCCTTAGGGGGTATAGCTTTGTTAGGGTTTCCTACTTGTATCCCCCTCCTACCTAGTTTCATCCATTCTCGTTCTATTCTAGATTCTAACAGATTGAATTCCTCGTTCGCTGGAAGGACCGCACACCAACTGAGGATAACTGGGTGCCCCTGGCCAACATCGAAAACCACCCTGCCCTGCAAGTATACCTGAAGAGCTGGGGTTTCCGCGATGTACACGCACTCGCGTAGCGGAGGGGGCTTCTTGAGGGGGGGGGGGGGGGGGGGGGGGTAGTGTAAGGAATTTTCTCGACATTCCTTAGCGCATCCCGCAACATCGCGTACAGCAGCAGCAGTTGTTTCGCCCGTTACTGCTAACGGGGCTTCGCCGACTTTGTGCGCACTGTTTCACCAAACCTCGCACTGCTGGCCCGGCCGTGTCGGCCTACGTTTCGGGACTAGCCCGAATCTCACTGACAGTGTAGCACTAGCTAGCTCGCACGCACCGCGTTACCGTTTGCATGTTTCGCGTATAAATGTTCGCTCATCCCTTCACTCATATTTTGTACTCGTTTGACACTTAGTGCAATCATCGCTACCTCGATTCATTGCACCCATAACAATATACCTGGTGTACGTGAGCACCTATGGTATTTATTAAAACACCCCCTCAGCAGATATTGCACCTGCTCTTCTCCGTATGCAAGAAAATGAAAGGGGGTAATGCAATGTTACTATTAATCCAAAATAAATAAATAAATAAAGAATTTCCTTGCATATTATATTGTGTATGTATTTTAATAAGATTGAATACATTACCAAGAAAATGGCATTCGAGAACTCAAATTACACATATTAATCTTAGTTTTTTTGTGCAGAAGTGGGTCTTCAGATTATATTAAAATCATATGATAATTGAGAATGTATATACATGATTGTGGTTGTAACGAATTCCTACGTCGCGTGACCCTCTGACAGCATCTGTCAGGAAACAAGCCATACCGCTTTGGTTGATAGGTGTCTTCACAGTTCGCGCTTTTCGTTCTGAAACTGATGGTGTGAGCGGGAAACTGGCGCGATCAGGCACCTTGAGAGTGTCTCCACCAATTAGGGTGCGGACTTTTCCGCACTGCTCTGGTCCAACTGCCCGGGAGCCAAGCCGACCAACCCATCCAAATTAGCCTGCTTGAACATCAATCCCAAGGCGGTTCGAAAACCAGGGTCAAGAGCCACACAGTCCCAGATGAGGTTGATGGAAGCACACTCTTGATCTACATTCAGAGGTCTAGTTCGGTTGGCTCCGCTCCCAAGCGGTAAATACAGAATACCTTGTTTACCGTGTGTAATTCGTATTGAACCGCACTGGCGATAAGTGGAGTTGAGGAGCAGGGTGTGCAAATCATCCTTGAGCAGCAAGGCAGCCATGCAAATGAGTCGGAAGCCTGACCGTTGTTGGCCCTCTTCACTGACTCGGCAGGGAGGCAGGACTTCATCTCTCAGTAGCTCCTCTTTCCTTGCCACGCCTTAGTCTCCTTGTCTGTTATGGATAGACAGGGTGGAGCAGAATATTATATATTTGTAGAAAGATTTACTAATTAAGCTATACAAACCGCGTCCGCGTGCTGCTAGTCCGATAGATATTAAGCAGTTTGCGTCATGTTGGCTAAAAAACGGATTGGTTGAGGTGCAGTCCGTTAAATATTAAATATTATTAGTAGCGGAAATTCGAACACCGGACAGGATGTTTAAGGCGTTTGGGTCCAAGAAGGAGAAGTTCGAGTTCCGGTTTAGGTTTCATGCTACTCGGGTAAGCAACGGTCAGCGTTTCATCCGGTACTTACTGTCAGCGTTTCATGCACATTCAGCTGCGTCTGGATAGCCACGTTTCAAGTATGCGTCGTTTATCTTAGAACTACGGTTTCCACTGCACTTGGTCTCTGCATTAGCACGAGCATTAGGCTTCTCACATTCACCTGTTTCATTTGGGTTTTCCACCCATCCGGGTCAGTGAGCCTTTATCAGAGTCACAATCGTTGCTTCCCTGGAGATCGCTTCAGGTTGGCGAAGGCACTTCTTCCGGTAGATACCCGAACAACAGGCCTTTCTCCACTTCTTTCACTCTTAACTCACGCATTTTTCTCGTGCGCGCGCTGCTGGACCAGTCCTTGCAACACACGGCAGGTACCAGCGACGGGGTGCGAGAGGCTGGTGGTGTCGCTGATTTTCAGAACACGGGACCTCGAGGAGCAGACACATAAGGGGGTCCGTCCGTTTCTAAGCCGCGTCTGAAATAGCCAACAGCTGAAACGCGTTCTTCCATTTGTATCCTATTCGTCCTTGAAACACACGGCAGGTGCCGGCGACGGGGTTCGAGAGGCTAGTGGTGTCGCTGATTCCGGTGGACACGGGGAAACTCGAGGGACAGACGCCAAAGGGGGTGGTGAAGAACGGCACGTGCACATGGACCGACACCGTCACCGAGGTCACTCGCCTCGCCAGGAACCCCAAAGGGAAAGGCTACGAGCAGAAGGTGTACCGGCTTATCGTGTCCACGGTGAGTTTTGGTTTACTTAAAACTCACGGAGGTGCACTGGCTTGTGGTGTCCATCCGTGGTGAGCGCAAGGGTGATTTTTGTGGAGTGAATTTGACCATCACGCAGCCAGTAGACGCGTTTTTTTTATCTTGCAACTGCGAAATGTGCAATCGAAAGTAGTAGTACAAAAATACTCCAGATCCCTACTCACTCACTAGAGGCTCAGGAGTGCGTTGACTTCTGTTTTCATTTCTTCAATCTTTGAATTGTGTGACGCTGAAATTTCCTTCATCTTTGGCGTTTGTTCATCCTCCGCTCATTTTCTGACCTCCGCTGTACGCGTTACAGGGCTCCACGCGAGGCGGCATACTGGGCGAGGCGACGCTGAACCTCGCGGACTTCGCAGGCTTTAACCAGCTCGACCAGCGCGCGCTGCCGCTCAAGTACTGCCCCGCAGGCACCGTGCTGCATGTGAGTGGCCGTGCATTGCGCCGGATAGTGCGCATAATTTCTGCGTGGTTGGTGCGAACATCAGCACTGCACTTCCCTTCTGACCTCCTTACCTTGTGTGCTTTGATCTTGTATTCCCTCATGTTTCCTGCACGGTTTCTGAGGTGCCGTTGAATTGTAGAACGAAGTATTTGTGCTTTTCTATGCGTTTCCTCCTGTTTCCTACGCGGCCATTGTGTTTCAGGTGACCATTCAATGCTCGTCTCGCGATCCCAGGTCAGCCATCGCACCCTTGAGTCTCTATCCCCCTTCATCCCTCCTTCCCAACCACTCTGTATCCAGCATCACTCCGTAACTACCATGATCGTAACCAGCTCGCTCTGCAACTTCCTATTGGTTAATTGCACTCTTCGGCTCAGAATCCATAGGCGTGGGGGTCCTAGCCTCTTCCTTTCCCTCACGTTGTCGAGCCTTTTCTTCGCTTTCCCCGCTCGTCACCTTGCCATTACGCCCTCTCGATCCGCTGACCATCTTGTGAGTTTCCATCCTGATCGTTCCCATGTGGCAGGGAGGGCGAGGAGTCAGACACGGGGCAGAGCGAGAACGAGGAGGAACTCACGCCCAAGAAGCCAGCCGGCAAAGCAGCAGCTGCTGCTGCTGTAGGGGCAGGCGCAGGAACAGGCGCAGCAGCGGTCGCAAGGGGAGCAGGGGGGACAGGGGGCGGGGTGCATGGAACGGCGGCGGCAGGACCGAAGCGGATGAGCAAGAGCAAGTCGGACGCGAGTGACGTGCTGTCGAGCATCGACCTGCCCAACACCACCACGCCCACAAAGGGGCAGGTGAGTGCAGCACAGGGGTGGGTGGCAAGTGGAGGGTAGGCGCAGCAGGGGACCAGGTACCGGTAGGCCTGGAGCATATCTGCAAGGTTTGGACGCGAGTGACCAGGTGCTGTCGAGCATCGACCTGCCCAACACCACCACGCCCACCAAGGGGCAGGTAGGCGCGGCAAGGGCTAGTAGATAGGCGCAGCAGGGAGACAGGGTAGGCCTGGCGCATGTTTGGAAGGTTTATCTGTGATAGGTCACGTGCTGTCGAGCATCGACCTGCCCAACACCACCACACCCACCAAGGGGCAGGTGAGTGCAGCAAGTTTTTTCATCCCTTGAGCAAGCTTCTTGGGTTCAATTTCTCAAATGCTATGAGCCTACAAGAAAAGTTATTGCACTCTCAGCCTACAGGGTAACGTTTTGCCTGTCCCTCTATCTCTCGGACTTGCAGAAGCACTACCACGCGAACGAGCCAACTAACAATCATCACCATCACCGCCAGCATTGATAAACACATTTTCTGTCCCTCTATCTCTCGGGCTTGCAGAAGTATTACCACGCGAACGAGCCAACCAACAATCATCATCATCACCGCCAGCATCAGCAGCCCCAGCAGCAGCAGAGAGGAGCCCAAGTTGCAGCGACCCCTTCAATCGGTCGCTCTTCCAGCCTTCCGTCGAATCAGGTCAGTTAAGAATCCATCTGCTTTCTTTTAGGGCGGTTGGGGTGGTAGGGGAGAATAAGGAGGAAGCGCGATTGCACTGCTTTCGGCTTAGAACCCGCTAAACGCCTTGCTTGCATGACACTGCTCCCCGCGCTTGACTCCCCAGGACGACAACGACTCCGCGGATGCCCTCTATGAGCGCAACAGGGGCAGGGGCGCAGCAGCGCACGGGGGGGAGGCGCAGGCGCGCGCGGGCGGCAAGGAGCATCCTGCGGAGGCTGAGGGGTTGCGTCTCAGTGTGGACACGGACGGCGCGGGGGGCGGAGGCGGAGGCGGAGGGGGGATTTTCTTCTGGCGGAATAAGGACGCTTCCCCGCGCCATGCGTCCCCCCTGCGCGGACGGTTTGGGCGCGACCCTTCCCCCGCGCGCGTGCATGCGCAAGTGGCGGAACCGAAGGATGCGGGGAAGGAGAAGCAGCATGGGGCGGTGAGAGTGAGATCGCAGTCGAGAGGGAGAGAGAGAGAGAAGGAGAAGGAGAGGGAAAAAGAGAAGGAAAGGGAGCGGGAAAAGGAAAAGGAGAGAGAAAGGGAGAAGGTAAGGGAAAGGGAACGGGATAAGGATAGGTATAGGGATAGGGATGAAGATAGGTACAGGGAAAAAGAGAGGGAACGAGAAAGAGGCGGGGACAGGTACAGGGAGAGAGAAAGAGAGAGGGACAGGAGCAGAGGGAAAGAGCGGGAGAGGGAGAAGGAGAGGGAGAGGGAGCATGAGGAACGTGAGAGGCTTAGAGAAAGAGAAAAGGAGCAAAGGGAGAGGCTAAAGGAACGCGAGCGGGAGAAAGAGAGGGAGAGGAGGGAAAAGGAGAGAGAAATGGAGAGGGAGAGGGAGAGGGAAAGAGAAAGGGAAAGGGAGGCAGAGAAAGAAAGGGAGCGAGAGGCTAAGGAGAAAGAGAAGCAGCGGGAGCTGGAGCTGGCAGCAAAGGAGAGAGAGCGGCAGAGACAGGAGCAGGAGGAGAGAGAGAAAGAGAAGGAGCGGGAGAGAGAGGAGAGGGAGAGGGAGAGGGAGCGGAAGCGGCAGGAGCAAGAGCGGCAGCGGAAGCTACTGGAAGAGCAGCAGAGGGAAGAGATGTGGCAGGCAGAGGAAGAATTGGAGGAAGAAGCGAGGCGGGTGAGAATGGAACGCGAGTGGCAACGGCAGCAGCGGGAGGAGGTGAGGCGGCGGCAATACGCCTTAGACTCTGCCTCAGACGGAACCTCACAGGGGGGCATGCCGGATGCCTTGTCGCCTGGGCTCACCCCGTCCGTGGGCGCTACTGGGATGGGGTACACAGGGATGGAGGGGAGCGAGTATGGGGAGAGGACGCCCGAGGAGATGACTGGGGAGAATGAGTATATAGATGAGCTGCAGGAGCTGCAGTCGCCTGGCGGGATGGGGTCTGTGGGTGGCGGTGGTAGTGGTGGAGGTGGTGGTGGGGGGGTTGGGACTCCTATGACTGGTATGTCTCCCCGTGGAGCGCTGGGAAGCTGGAGTAAGGGGCCGGGGGGGACGCCGCAGACGCCGGTTAGTATGGTTGGTAGCACGGGCACGGTTCCTGGGACTGCTGGCACAGGCGCGGGGTATAAGCCCGCGTGGGCGGAGTCAGGCGGGGCGAGCGCGGCAGGCGGGGGGATGGGCGCGGGCGGGGGTGGTCCGGGGGAGGGGCACCTGGTTTCCCCGCCCTCGAGTATGAATTCGTCCCCTGTGGCAACTCCGCAGCACCAGCAGCAGCACCAGCACACGCGTCTGGCCTACCCTGAGTATTACCAGACATCGGGCAGGGCAGGAAGCGGGGGAGGCGGGGGGAGTGCTGCTAGCGGCGCGGCCAGCGCCGCGTATGGTAACCACCACCAGGGGGGAGCACGCGGGGGAGGGATAGGGGGAGGCAGCGGAGGGGGGGGCAGCGCGGGCGCAAAGGGGAACGGCGCGCTGCCCTCGCCCAGCGCAGGCGCCATGTCGCCCGTCCCTGCTGGTCCCATCCCCGACGGGTTCAGCCCCTTAGGCTCCGTGGGAAGCTCCCTGACAAACCCGCTTGGGGCAGTGCACGGGCGCGGCAGAGGAGGCGCGGTTATGCGGGACTATCCGGGGGAGCTGGCGGCGGCGGAGGCGGCTATAGAGGAGCTGCAGCGGGACTGCGTGAAATACCAGCTGAACGCGCGAAATCTCACCAGGGAGGTGGAGAGTCTGAGAAGCCAGCTGGCTGAGGCGATCACGCAGGACCAGAGGGCTGATATTGCGATAGGGGAGTTGAAAGGGGAGAGGGATCAGCTTCAGGAGGAGCTGAACCAGCTGCGGATGGGGCGGGGAGGCGGGGAAGTGGGCGGCGGGGGGATGGGGGAGGGGAGCGAGTGGAGCATGGGCGGACCCGGGGGCATGCGCGGGGGGATGGGGGGCGGCAGGGAGGTGGAGATGCTGATGGAAGAGGTGGAGTATCTCAAGGGCACGGTTGATAGCTTATCAGCGCAGCTGGAGGTGTTTCAACGGGATAACGTGGAGCTGTCTAAGTCGCTTGAGGAGGCGGAGAGAGAGGCGGGGAAGTACAGGCGGGACGCGGAGGAATTGTTTGAGGATAGGCGGGAGGCGCAAGCGGTGGCGAAGCGGCTGCAGAAGCAGATGGAGGAGAAGGAGGCGGACTGGAACCGGCGGCTGGCGGAGCTTGCGCAGGGGAATGGGGGGATGGACGGGTTGGGTCTGAGCGGGTTGGGGGTTTCGGAGGGGATGGGCGGCGTGGGAGGGAGCGTGCAGTCGTCGGTTAAGAGGAGTTTGTTTGGCGGGGCGGACAGGCGCGCGGGGCTGGTTCCGCGGAACCTGAGGGATGAGCTGGAGCTCGCGACAGAGAGCGAGGGGGAGGTTAGGGGAGGCGGAGGATGCAATAAGCGGTACGCAGGGTATGACGGGCAGGAGAGCAGCGGGACGGCGGGCATGACTTGTGATGAGAGCGTGCTGTTAGAGCTCCAACAGAAGGTGGAAGAACTGGAGAAAGAAGCGCAGGAGCTCACAGCAGAGAGTCTTGAGCTAGCTACGGAATTGAACACGGCGAATAAGGAGGCTGAGCAGAAGGAGGTGTTGATCGAGCAGCTGAAGCAGGAGTTGGTCGCGGCGAGGGGTGGGAGAGGGCTTCCGGCGAGTATAGCGCAGCTGCTACAGACGAAACCCAAGCCGAAGCCGTACCAGCCTGTGCAGCTGCGGCAGCAGCGCCCGGCGCCGCCCCCGCCTCCTGCTCCCCCTGCCCCGTGCCTGTGTCCGAAATGCTCTGAGCCGTCCGCCCCTGCGCTCTGCGCGAAGTGCACCCCGCCTCCCCCGCCCCCGCCGCCGCCTGCGGCCCCATCTCCGCCTCCGCCCCCGCCCCCTCCCCCTGCCCCTGTAGAGGAAACTAAGAAACCAGAGGTTGCGGTGAGGGCTGTGAGCAGCGAGGGCGGCAGCAGCGTGTCCGAGGAAGATGCGCGGAAGCTGCAGGCGCGCGTGCAGGAGCTGCTGGAGCAGCTGCGGGTGCAGCGGGCGGAGGCGCAGGCCGCCAAGGAGGAGGTGGTGCAGCTGCGCAGCAAGGTGCGCGTCACTGAAATGGCCACCCAGCGCGCGAATGACAGGCTTAGCATCTTAGAGGAGTATGAACGGAGGGCTAGGGAGGTGGAGGCGGAGTTGGAAAGTACCAAGAAGCTGCTGACGGCGGGGCGGCGGGCGAGGGAGGAGGCGGAGAGGAGGCATGAGCTAGAGGTGGAGCATTTGAAGGAGGCGCGGGCTGACGTGGAGAGTCAGCTGACGAGGTATGTGGAGGAGGTGGGGCGGCTGGAGAAGAAGTGTGCTGATGAGGGACAGGCAGGAAAAGAGCTGAGTGAGAGGCTGGCCCAGGTGCTGGAGAATGGGGTTGGTGGGATTGACTTGGAGGATTCTGCGAGTCTGGCTGCGAGGGCGGAAGGGTTGGATCCTGCTGGGAAGGTGGCGCTGCTTGCTGAGGTGGCGTCTAAGTGGCGCGCGCGGGCTGCTGAGCTGGCGAAGGAGAAGGAGAAGCTGCGGGAGGAGAAGGGTGACGTGGAGGGGAAGATGGAGGAGCTGGAGAAGGGGATGGGGTCGTGGCGGAGCGATAGGGCGGGTTTGGAGAAGCAGGTGCGGCTGCTGGACGAGGGGAAGAGATTGGCGGAGTCTCGGGTTCAAGAGGTGGAGTTGCAGTTGTCTGCTATGCAGGAGCTTCTAGATGATGCCAAGGCGGATTCTGCTGCTGCTGTGAGGCGCAGCAACGGTGGTATGAGCGCCAGTGAGGTGGAGGAGATGAGGGAGAGCAATCAGAAGGCGAGGAGGCGGATTGTGGAGCTTGAAGGGCAGGTGAAGGCGCTAGAGACGAGGCTGGCGGAGTGGGAGGTGAGGGAGCTGTCTGGTTTAGGCGGTGGGGATCGGCGTGGGAAGAGCAAGGAGCTGGAGGAGGCTCGGAAGCGGATTGCCGAGCTTGAGGCGGAGGTTCGGAAGGTGGCTGGGGAGTCCGGGGCGGGAAAGAGGGAGGTGGAGATGAGGGTGTTGAGGTTGGAAGGGGCGTGTGGGAAGCTAGAGGCGGAACTGCAGGAGGCGAATACGGGGAAGAGGAGGGCAGAGGAGAGGGTAGCAGAGGTGCAGGCTCAACTGGTGGTGGTGACATCTGAGGCCAAGGCGGGGGCGGGGAGAGCGAAGGAGCTTGACGGGCGGTTGCAGAGGGCGGAGGCGAGAGAAGGGGAGCTGATGAGCGAGGTGCAGGGGCTTGAGGGGCGGTTGAAGGAGATGGAGCGGGAGAAGGAGCGGTTTAGTCGGGTGCTGGGGCAGGAGGAGGCGAAGCGGGAGGCGGCAGAGGCGAGGGCGGCAGCAGGGGAGGCGGCGGGGGAGAGGGTGAGGGAGCAGATGGGGAGGGACCTGGCCAGGATGAAAGAGGTGGAAGCGAAGCTTACAGCGCGGTTGCAAGGGGTGGAGAGGGATAGAGATGAGGCGAAGGCGAGGGCGAGCAAGGCGGAGGAGGGGCAGAGGCGGGAGAAGGAGGAGCGGCAGGCGGCTGTAGCGCGGCTACAGGCGGAGGTGCAACTGCTGACTGAGCAGCTATCCGCGTCTGTGAGCGCGAGTGGTAACTTAAGAAGGGAGAATACGAGTGCGGTGGAAGCAGCTGAGCTGAGGGCCGCTAAGGGGAAGCTGGAGGACCGGTTGAGGCGGGCGGAAGCAGAGCTGAGGGATGCGATAGCCGAGAGGAACAAGGCAGATCTTGAAGTGGAGAGTCAGCGGCGGGCTGTGGCTGCTGAGAAGGCTGCGGCGCGCAGTAGGGAAGCTGCGTGGGTGGTTGAGGCGGAGGGGCTGAAGAGGGAAGCAGCAGAGGCGGGAGAAGCGGTGGTGAAGCTGAGGGGGGTTGAGGAGGAGCGGGACGAGCTGATTCGGCAGCTGGGGGAGGCGGAGGCGAGTGTAAAGCGGTTGGAAGCGGTGAGGGAGGAGCTTGAGGGGGAGAAGCGGGCGTTGGTGGCCCAACAGGGGATCATGGCGGCCAAAGTGAAGGAGTTGGAGCGGGTGAAGAGCGATTTGGTGGCTTTGCGGACGGAGAAACAGGTGCTAGAGGAGAGACGGCTTACATTGTCGCTTAAACTGGCGAAGATGGAGGAGGGGTTGAGTGAGCTGGAGGATTTACGGGCCAAGCATGTGGTGCTGGAGGGGGAGGTGGGGGAATTGGCAGCTAAGGCGGGGGAGGTGGTGGGGTTGAGAGAGGAGAAGAAGCGGTTGGAAGGAGTGGTGAGGGATTTGGAGGAGCGGGTGGAGCAGCTGGCGAGTGTGTCTGGTGGGGGTGGGTCTGCAGGTGGTGGGGGGAGTGTGGGGGGGGGCGGGGGCAGCGGTTGCAAGTGCATTGGCAGAGGAGGTGCGGCAGCTGAAGCAGCAGAATGGGGAGCTTAAAAAGCAGTTGGCGGAGGTGAAAGGAGAGGGGGATGGGGGGATGGGTGTGGGCGCTGTGGGTATGGGCGCTGGGAGCGCAATGAAAGGCAGGCCAATGGGGGGAGGCGGAGGGGGGATGATGGGCGGGGGAGGGGGCGGTGCATTCGCCCGCGGGGGGCGGGCGGGGGGGATAATGTCGGCGCGGGGAGGGGAGGGCGGGGCGGAGAGGCAGGTGGAGGAGCTGAGGAAGAGGACGATGGCTCTGGAGGGCGAGCTGCAGCGCAAGGCAGAGGCGCTGGCTGCTGCTGAGAGACAGCTGGAGGCCGCCAGGCAGGCTGCATCTGGGGGAGGTGGCGGGATGGAGAGCCAAGTCGGCAAGCTTGAGGTGAGAGCCGGGATTTTCATTGAATGCATGGTCGGGGAAGGGGGGGAATAAGAGGGAGACAGTGCCAGGAGCAAGATGAAGCTGCAGAATGTATGTTGGCTTTCCCTACCAGATGTCGTAGCTCTGTGCTCCAATTTCTCAATCCAACCGCGAACCGCTTTCAACCCATTTCTACTTCTTGCAGGACCAAGTGCGGCCGCTGCAGCAGTCTCTGGAGAGCAGCAGAGCAACAGCAGAGGCGAGGGAGCGCTGCCTGTCAGAGCGGCTGAAGGCGATTCTGAGACACCTCAAAACCGCACTCAACCCATCCCAACCCACTCCACTCGTGTGCATGGCTTGCAGGACCAAGTGCGATCTCTTGAGCAGTCTCTGGAGAGCAGCAGAGCAACAGCAGAGGCGAGGGAGCGTAGCCTGACCGAGCGGTTGGAGCAGCTGGAGGCAGCGAATGAGCTGCTGGGGAGCAAAGGGGACAACGCCAGTGCCAGGCTGAACCAAGAGGTAGGGATTGGGTTATTGGCGTGGGCATGAGATGGAAGTCACAGGTATGGGATCCGGGGTATGTGCATGGGAGTGCTTGCATGGGATGGAGGACTGTGCATGGGGGTAAGGTATATTGTATCATATTAACAAGAGTTCAAGATAAGGACACATTTCACATGCCACATCATGCGACCTGCAATGATCCCTCAACACAACTTCCTCCATTCCCCAAGCCCTGTGTTCCCTTCCCTTCAGTTGCGCAAGGCGCAGCAGCGGGTGGGGGAGGTGCGAGTGAAAGAGGCGCAGATTTGTTTGCGATTCCTAGAAACCTCGTACCCACCCTCATAACGCCCATGTTAAGCATTCGTCCCCAACCTGGCTCCCCCCACCCCCATGTGTCATGTGTTCCCTTCCCTCCAGTTGCGCAAGGCGCAGCAGCAGGTGGGGGAGGCGCGAGTGAGGGAGGCGGAGCTGCGGTGTGCGCTGGCAGCACTCAAGGGATCCGGCACAGAGGCACACGCACAGGAGGTGAGGGACATGGAGAGAGGGGTGGGTGTTATGGGTGGGAGGGATGGGTTTCATACAACTTGAAATGTACGAGTGAAGGAGGCAGAGCTGCGGTGTGCACTGGCAGCGCTCAAGGGATCCGGCACAGAGGCACAGGCACAGGAGGTGAGGGACATGGAGTGACAGGTGTGGCAGGGGTGGGAGGGGATGGGTGACTTCTGAGTTGACTTGTGACTTCTGGGTATTAGCAGCACTCGAAGGGTCTGACACAGTGGCACATGCACAGGAGGTGAGGGACATGGGGGAGGTGTGGGTTTTCATTCAACTTGACATGTGCGAGTGGGGGAGGAGGAGCTGCGGCATGCGCTGGCAGCACTCAAGGGGCCTGGCGCCGAGGCACACGCACAGGAGGTGAGGGCCGTGGAGTGTGAGGTGGTGGTATGGTTGCCTGTTTATTCGACTCAAGAGGTGTGAGTGAGGGAGGCGGAAATGCGGTGTGCGCTGGCAGCACTCAAAGGATCCGCTACAGAGGCACACGCGCCCGAGTTGAGGGACATGGGGGGAGAGGTGGGTGGGGTGATATTCATCCCGGGTGGTCGATTTGAACCTAACATAATGGGAACTGATTGCTTGGTGGATCTCTTCTTAACAAAACATAACCCCACTCTCACTCCCTCATATCTAATCCCTAACATAATGGGAACTGATTGCTTGGTGGATCTCTTCTTAACAAAACATAACCCCACTCTCACTCCCTCATATCTAATCCAATCTCATCCCCAATCCGCCCCGTGCATCCTCAGGACCCTCGCAAGGCAGCGGCACAGCGCATGGCGAGCGGCGTGGCAGAGAGGATGGCGATTCTGGAAACGGAGCTGGCAGAGGCACTGGAGGCCAACAACCGTTACAAGGAGCAACTCAAGCGGTGAGTGGGGTGGGGTGCGGGAGGTGGTGAGCGGTGGTGGGAGGTGGTCGGTGGTGGTCAGAGGTGGTGGAATGTAGGATTGGGGTTCTGTCTGCACACGCATAGAAGATGGCGATCTGGAGACAGAGCTGGCAGAGGCGCTGGAGGCAAACAACCGCTACAAGGAGCAGCTCAAGCGGTGAGTCAAGCAGGGGTGGTGAGTGGTGGGTGTGAGTCTGAGGTGCCTGAAAGGGCACTGCCTCCTGTCCCTGTTTTAGTGGACTGTTCTCAGTCTTCTCCCTGTTCCTGACCACTCAACTCAACTTAGGTGTTTTTTTTTTTGTGTGTGCCTGCCCCCTGCCAGTGCAATGGCGAGCGCAGGGGCAGCAGACAGCAGTGCAGCACAGCAGTCGCACGAGGGTGAGCTGGCAGCAAGGCTTGCTGACATGGCAGCACAGCTGGAGGAGTCCAAGCTGGCGGCGCAGACAGCCGAGGGTGAGCTGGCGCGATTGAGGGCGGAGCACGGGGCAGTGGCTGCCAGGCTGGCACAGGCTGACGTGGACAAGAAGGGAGAGAGAAAGGTTAAGGGAGATATAGAGCGGAAAGCTGAGAAGAAAGATGAGAAGAAGAGGGAGGAGAAGAAAGAGGAGAAGGAGGAAAAGCGGAGGGAGGAGAGGCGGCTGGGGTCAAGGCCTGCCAGTCCAAGGAGCAAGGTGGGGGGGATTACGAGCAGCACTGCCACTCCTGCCAGTGCAAGTGCGGCCAGGCTGGGCAGAAGCAGCAGCTCCAGAGGCATGGGCATGGTCTAGAGGGACGGTATCAACCGGAGGCAATTTAGATAATGGGAGTCGTCTAGAACCTTGGCAATCATTCTGCTCGCCCTGTCCATGGTGAAAAGGCTGTAAAATGGCCTTCGCTTAGCACAAGTATCTATGGTTCCGGGCAGACGGGATATTAGAGGGTCGCAGGGACAGCAATTCGTTGTCCATTAGTTGGTAGAGCTGGATTTGAGGCTTGTAGCACACCTTGCATTATATAGACTGCAACTCGTGAGCTTGTAGTGGCACAAAGAAGTCAAGCAAAAAGAGGTTCAAACTCTGAAGATGAAGGAATACCCTGGTACTTGGGCTCTGCTTGCAGCCAGTTCAGAAAATAATTATACGACTGTTAAAAACAAACTTGCTGAAGCATCATACGTCAATAGTCCAATGGTTAGGATATTTGCCTTCCAAGCAAAAGATCCGGGTTCGATTCCCGGCTGACGTATGATAACAGCGCGGTTTCGCTTTTGGTTTCCCCACCTTCCTGCCCCCATGTCTTCCTCCATAACCCCTTCTTCCCATTTCCCACTCCTTTCCCCACTCTTCTGGTGCATGCTCTCCTGAAGACCCTCATTGATCTCAAATGTATGAGATTTCATCATCTCACGATTGGTTGGCACGATATCATACACTTGAGGTATCTCCACAAGAAAGGTACATACAACCGCTTCACCCTCCCCATTCTGCCTTGGCTTCTGATCTGCTTTCATTTTTTTAAGCACAGTACCACATTCACCAATCAGCTCGCCTTTTTTTAGTGGTTGGTAGTATAGGGGAATATTACTTATACTCGGTACACTGAGCTTCACCCTCCAAGCTCGGCTTTAAGCTCCCCATTGGCCTTCATTTCAAGCACAATATCGCATCCACCAATCAGCTCGCCCTTGTGATACAGCTGTGGGTACGTGGGCCAATTGGAGAGCTCCTTCAGCCCCTGCCTCACAGCTTCATCCGTGAGAATGTCAAAACTGCCAAAGGTTATGCTTTCTGACGTGAGTGCGTCCACCACCTTGCGGCTGAACCCACACCGCGGCTCCTCCGGTGTTTCCCTGAATAGCAAGGGATGGGGATGGTCATGGGTACATAGCACAAAAAGGCAAGGGGGAAGGCATGAGTCAGCCCCTGCCTCACTGACTCATCCGGTGTGCCCTGAGAAGGCAAGGGATGGGGATGGTCATGGGTACACAGCAGAGGAAGGAAGGAAGCGGGAAAGGCATGTGTTTAGACCCTGCCTCACTGCTTCACCAGAATGTCAAATCTGCCCAATGGGATCCCTTCTGACTTCAGTGAGTTTTCCACCTTCCGGCTGAACCCACACCGGGGCTCCTCCGGTGTGCCCTGAGAAGGAAAGCCACGGAGGGCAAGGGAGGAGAGTGTGGAACAACAGCAGCGATGAGAGCAAATCTGAAGGCCAAAGACCACCTTGCAGCAGAAAATCACACCGGGGCTCCTCTGGTGTGCCCCAGAGGAGGGAATCAACCGATAGCATCGAGTATTGCATGGGATGGGGGAGGCTATGGGCACACGCATGAGACCGACTTTTGAGGTGCCTCAAAAGGAGGGAATCAACAGATAGCATCGAGTATTGCATGGGATGGGGGAGGCTTTGGGGGAGGCTTTGGGGGAGGCTATGGGCACACGCATGAGACCGAGGGGAAAAGGCAGACGGTCAGACCCTGTCTCTCCTCAGGGCGTCAACCACTTTCAAGCTGCACCCACACTGAGGCTGCTCCGGTCCGGTGACTCCAGTATAGACTCAGTCTATATTCCTGTGCATCACGAGTATACACATCATGTGCATACTCCCAGTGCCTATTCCTAACCCCTCTCTCCTATCGACAATCTGTTACATGGTCTGTTCACACCACTCTCAGCTCATTCGCCCTGCCTTCATGAACAGCATGGCAGGTGATGATGGGAGGAAGAGGAACTTCGAGCACTCTAGCGTCAGTGGTGTTCCTCTGACATACCTAGCGTCAGTGGGAGGATAGGGTATCGCATACACCCCCATCCTACCCTAACATACCTTCTTGAACAGCATGGCGGGCACCTTCTTGACAAGAGAGAGCACCTTCAGCCACTTAGCATCAGTCAAATGACAGGCTGTCACACACACCCCAACGCAACCCAACCTACTCCAACCTACCTTCATGAACAGCATGGTAGGCGAAGACGAGAGGAGCGCCTTCAGCCGCTCTTGCAACCCCTTCGCCCCATCACCCTCCCCATCCACCGCTGCTGCTCCTGCCGCTCCTGCTCCTGCCCCACCTGCCGCCACTGCTCCTGTTCCTCCTCCTGCTGTGTCTCCCTTCGCCCCGCCTCCCAGCACCCCTTTTTCCGCAAACACCTCCTTTAACTCCCCACTCTCGTGCATCTGCAGCACAATATCACACCCCCCAAGCAGCTCCCCTTTGCAATACACCTGCGGGAAAGTCGGCCAGTCACTATACACCTTCAAACCCTGCCGGACCTCCTCATCTTGCAGAATATCAAACGACCCGTACGCACTGGCCGCCGCAGACCCTAAGTCCTTTTCCAGCACAGACACAACCTTAGAGGAGAATCCGCATCTGGGGGCGCTGGGGGACCCTTTCATGAATAGGAGTACTGGGTGGGAGGCCAGTAGAGCCTCGATCCGAGCCTTCAGGTCCGGGGACAGCTTCGGCTTGTCCGAACCTGCGGGCGGGGCGATCATTCGGGACGGCTGCTCTGGCTGAGCAACAGCAGCAGCAGAAGAGGCAGCAGGCGGAGCAGCAGCAGGATAAGCGGCGGTGCGAGCGGGGTGAAGAACGGATTCGATGACTTCAGCAGCAGCAGAGCCGCCAGCACTAAAGTTGGTGGCAGCAGAGGGTGCAGCGATGTGCAGCGCCACCTTGTGTGCTAGCTCGGGGGGGTTGGCTCCTTCCAGTCGATCCACCACCTTGCCATCCTGCAGGAAGAGGGGAAGAAGGGGGCAGGAATGGCAAGGGAAGTTGGTTGATGGCAAAGGAGGGTGCAGCGACGTGCAGTGCGACCTTGTGGGCTAGCTCGGGGGGGTTGGCTCCCTCCAGTCGATCCACCACCTTTCCATCCTGCAAGAAAAGAGAAAAGAGTGGAGGAAAATGCAAAATGGAAGTTGGTGGAGGAGGGGGGTGCAGCGACGTGCTGGGTCACCTTGTGTGCTATGCTAGCTAGGTCGTTCAAGTCTGTCAACCACAGTCAACCACCTTGCCATCCTGTTGAGGGAGGGAAGCGTAGAAGTAGACGGGGATGCGTTGTTGAGTTGAGTCAGTGCGAGCTTTGAACTCCACGGGCGGGTGAAGGATTGAACACCTCATCTCATCATAGAGAGAGCATATTCTGATATATTACCAAGAGTCTAAGGGACAGTGCGGATTTGTAGTACCATGTCTCATTGTACTAGAGTTATGATACGATTTTGTAGGCGCCTCAAAAAGAGGGTGAGTCAAAGCAATGCGACTTATCATTCTACGGAGCGTGAGTGGTAGTCATATATTGTTTTTTTTCTTTCTTTCTTTTTCTGGCAATAAAGACGCATGCACCCCTGTCCTACTTGTCAGTCATCCAAACCTTAAGTCAAAGAACAGGGTCGGACAACAACCAGCAGATACAAAAAGTATGGATGCTTCAAGGTAGAAGTACAAATCAGGTATGAATAAAGAATGCTTTCAGGATGAGGTAAGAAGGCATGCGGAGCACCTTGAGAAAGGACGAACGGCACCTCGGCCAACACAGCAGAGTACATTTTGAGTCGACTCAAAAGTCAACTCGGAAGGCATGCGGAGCAGCGGAGCACCTTGAGAAAGGACGAACGGCACGGCCAACACAGCAGAGTACATCTCGGCTATTGAGGCGCGCGTGACACTTCTACAAAGACAGAAGCAAGGAAGCGAGGAGTGAGGAGCACCTTAAGGAAGACGAAGAAGGGTACAGCCGATACAGAGTATGTCTCAGAAAGTTCCGGTACCTCCTCTGCCTCCACCTGTGCACGAGCAAGGGGGAGATAGGGGACGAAGGAGATAGGAAGACGAAGAAGGGTGTAGCCGATACAGAGTATGCCTCAGAAAGTTCCGGTACCTCCTCTGCCTCCACCTGTGCATGAGGGGGTTGGAAGGGCAGCAGGGGGGAGCAAAGGGAGAGGAAAGGAAAGGAGGGAGGGAGAGATACGAGGGGGGAAGCGGTTGGTGGAACACAGAAAAATGGAGGAAGGGGGCGGAGGAGGCAAAGAAAGAGCTCCAACCTTTGCTTGGTGGTAGTACTCACTTTCAAGAGATTGGCATAGGGGTTTCCAGCTGTCAGAAGCCCAAACACTACGCCCATGTGATTGCAGCGCTTGCACCATGCCGTTCCGAAAATCAATCAGCTCAAGCCAAGCCCTGTACCCGATAAACCCAGTGCTTACTCACTCTCAGGGACACTCAAGGCATAGGGATTCTCTGCAATGAGTTGCCAGAACACCACATCCATGTGCTTGCACGGTTCACACCATGCCGCTCAGGAATGCATTCAGATGTTCTAGGTGCTTCCTTACCCTCAGAAACTTGGCGTGCGGATTCTCTGCAACGAGTTGCCCGAACACCACATCCATGTGCTTGCACGGCTCACACCACTCGAAGCATTCGCATCATAAAATCTTCTCAATGCTAAGTTACGGTACCCTCAGGAACTTGGCATGGGGGTTCTCTGCTGCGAGTTCCCCAACCACCACGTCCATGTGCTTGCATTGCATGGCTTGCACCATGCTGGTTAGAAATGCACGGCCACTGTTCTCTGTACTGACTTACCCTCAGGAACTTGGCATGGCGGTTCTCTGCTGCGAGTTCCCCAACCACCACGTCCATGTGCTTGCAGGGTTCGCTCCATGCCGCCCAGAAATGCAATCAGATTTCCCCCAGTGCTGACTCACCGACCCTTAGGAACTTGGCATGTGATGTGGATTCTCTGCTGCCAGCAGCCCGAATACAACGTCCATGCACTTGCACGGCTCGCACCATGCCCCCCAGAAGGACATTCATCTGTTCTCACTGCTCACTCACCCTCAGCAATTTGGCGTGGGGGTTTTCGGCTGCGAGCTGCCAGAACACCACATCCATGTGCTTGCACGGCTCGCACCATGCCGCCCAGAAATGCATTCAGATGTTCTCAGTGCGTACTTACCCTCAGAAACTTGGCATGGGGGTTTTCGACTGCCAGTTGCCCAAAAACAACATCCATGTGCTTGCACGGCTCGCACCATGCGGCCCAGAAATGCACGGCCACTGGCGCCCCTTCCTTGGCCGCTGCTTCGAATGCCTCTGCTGACGTCACCTCCGTCACTGCCATGGTTGCTGGTGGGAGGGGGGGCGGGGGTAGAACAAGGCGGGAGGAGGCGAGGAGGGAGGGAGGAGGAGAGGAGGGGAAGGAGGGAGAAATGAGCGAGGAAGCACAAAAATGGTGAATGACGTGACGGGTGCAGATTGCGTGGTGACTTTTGAGTCGACTCAAAAGTCAGCGAGGAAGCACAAAAATGGTGAATGACGTGACGTGACGGGTCCAGATTGCGTGACGTCGCAGCACAGAACGAGCGTGGTGAAATTGTTAACGCAGATGGCGTGTGTTCGTTATCTGAGTGACGTAAGTTACTGGCGACGTTGAGTCGTTACACGGTTATAAAGTCACAGTGTAACAGCGTCACAGGGTGCAACACAGTCATATGGAAATCACTTTTGAGAATTCTCATAATTGATTTCCATTCAGCCAAGGTCCTCAAAACGATAACTGAAAGGCCCTTCAATCATCCAACCCTAATCGCATATGTGTGAGCGGCTTTTCACCATTCTCTCGTGTCCGCATACACACACCAAATCTGGTTACCCTCGCGGCTTTCCCCGCTCTCTCTCACCAGATCCGATTTCCCTCGCGGCGAGCTCGCACGTCACCAGACTCTAGTAGTAGCAGCGGGAATCCGGGCGTTATCGCTAGATAGTCCGCCCTTTTCTCCCGCACGACCACGATATGCTTTGAGAAACCAGAGACCAAAAAACACCTATCTGGAACGAGAGGCGTGTAAAAGAAGTTTCGCGAAATCCGATTGCAGAGGGCAAATCCATGTCAGTACTCGCTGGAAACGTTAACTCGATACACTGTGAAGAGTGCTGACATTCTGGAAACAGAAAATGATATTGAGAAGTGTTTTTGTCTAGCATTGACATTTTAGAATGTTATGGAGCAAGTAAAAGTAATGAAATCATAGAATTGCACTAAGAAGGTTATGAGACAAAGGCGAGAGATCTGTGCCTCAACGAATCAAATGCGTCCACGAGTGAACCAGATAAGTTGTCAACCAATCACCACCCTCCTCGAACCAATACGGACGTTCTCCCTGATGCTCGTCCAGACAGACCCAAATTCTTCATTTCTGAACCAAGTCTCACTGCTTTCAGGCTTTTCCTCCATTGCTTAGCCAGTTAGCTATTTTTGTGGGATTACCAGGTTGATTAGCCGCCATGGTCGTAGCAAGCTCGTTGTGCTGCAGCCACGCGGTTGGGCTGAAGCCGCTTCACACTACGCCTAGCAATGGAACACGTGGCTTAGCCTCTTCTTCTAGGCTACAAAATGCCATTCCCCGCTTGACTACTGGTAACCGCAGTGCTCGCATCCAACGGTGCGACAGGCGAAGCGTTCGCATCTCAGCCGTCAATGTCGCTCCCGAGAGTGCGACGGCGTCGCAGAGCTCGGATACGGAGCTTCTTGATTGGATGAACGCGAACGGGCTGCCTCCGTGCAAAGTCACGCTGAAGGAGCGACCCGGAGCCACTCCCGAGGAGGATACGATCCATTACGTTGCCGCCACGGAAGATCTGCAGGCAAGCCTAGAATCCGCGAGTATTCAGCGTTTTATATGCTCGCTGTGCTTTGCAGCCCGGGGCCACTCCCAGAGCCCCTTACGTTGCAAACACGGAAGATCTGCAGGCAAGCTTAGAATTCGCCATTCTAAACGTCATTATGAGTCCTTCAGCACTCAATATGCTCGCTGTGCGCTGATCCGGTTCTCGACAGAAGAACCATGTCGATGGGTCTGGAAATTGGGAGTTACGAAGGTTCCGAGCTTCGTGTCTTTCTAAGCTTTTCTCATCGCTACTGGCACCAGCGATTGAATGTTTCATTCTCGACTGAATCGCTCCTTATGCGCCTGTGTTTCAATCTATGAATCCATTGCATCGCCCCGTTCCGCGACAATCCCTGAATCCAACACTGGCAGGCCGGCGACATTCCGTTGAAGGTTCCAGAGAACCTCATTGTCACCCTGGGTCGAGTGCTGGGAGACGAAAACCTAGGTATGGCTTGCGTGGCCCTTTGTCTCCTGTCTTTTGAGTCGACTCAAAGGTGCCGGAGAAGGTATGGCTTGCGTGGCCCTTTCTTTCCTGTCATTTGAGTCGACGACTCAAAGGTTCCGGAGAACCTCATTGTCACCCTGGGTCGAGTGCTGGGAGACGAAAACCTAGGTATGGCTTGCGCGTCTGCATGTTTCATCACTTCCTGGGTGCACAAGCAAGTAACAGGCCTCACATTGTAGTTCCGTTGAAACATCTCACCCGACAGACGCATCCCCTGATTAATTTGACTTAAAAATTTCGTCTCACTGACCTTGCAATGCGACCGCACGACGCTTGTCCCAACTTCCGTGTCTGCTGTGCGCGTCACCCCCCATTCTCCATTTTTGTCGTTTATGGCGACTCTGAATCAATATGAGCCAATGCGTTCACTCATCTTCCACCCACGAGTGATACGGCACGTACCAATGCGTCGTGTTTTGAGTCGACTCAAAACTCGTTTATGGCGACCCTGAATCAATGTGAGCCAATGCGTTTACTCATCTTCCACCCACGAGCGATACGACACGTACCAATGCTCTCCGCCTCTCGCCCTCTCGCCCACTCCCCTCGATTCCCCACCCCAACCCTCCCCTCCAGCGGAGCTGGTAACAACCAACAAACTATCGGAGCTGGCGTGCTTGGCGCTCTACCTCATGTTCGAGAAGAAGCAGGCCAATCAGTCCTTCCCTCCTTCCATCTCTCACCTCCCACTTCCCCCGTCCCCCACCCCTCCAGCGGAGCTGGTAACAACCAACAAGCTATCGGAGCTGGCGTGCTTGGCGCTCTACCTCATGTTCGAGAAGAAGCAGGCTGATGAGTCCTTCTGGGGCCCCTTCATTCACGAGCTCGACCGGCAGAGGGGGCGAGGCCAGACGGCCGTCGCGACCCCTCTCCTGTGGGACCCGCAGGAGGTGGCCGAGCTGTTCCAAGGGAGCCCCATGAAGGTGAGCATCAGGATCAGGTGGGGAGGTTAGGTGAGAGTCGAGGGGGTTAGCAGCATTGTGCTGCTGGTGTGTCTGGCGCTGTGCGTTGATGCTCGGCCTTTCTGAGAAAGGGATGAGGAGAAGCAGACCGACCAGTCCTTCTGGCGTCCTTTTATCAACGAGCTTGATAGGCAGAGGGGGCGAGGACAGACTGCTGTTGAGACCCCACAGCTGTGGGACCCGCAGGAGGTGGCAGAGCTGTTCCAGGGCAGCCCCAAGAAGGTGTGTTTGGCTCGTGAATTCTCAGGATAGCTGCAGCAACAAGCACTCGGCCATGGCGACTCCACGGCCGAGACTCTCCCTTTGATCCTTCTCCTCCTTATTCCATCCTCATCGCACCTGCCCACATGCCTCTCTCCCTCGCATTCCTTCTCTCTATGTGAATTCCCTCTGGCGGAGGTGGAGGCGCGGCTGCAGGGCATGAAGAGGGAGTACGAGGAGCTGGACCCGACACAGTAAGTTTGACTATATCACACCATATCCGCCCACATCCCTCCCTGCCATCTTCATTCTCTGACCCCACAGGCGGAGGTGGAGGCGCGGCTGCACTGCAGGGCATCAAGAGGGAGTACGAGGAGCTGCACAGTACACTGTAAAGCTCTCCCTTATTTTCCATCTTTTCCTCATCACACCACCCACATGCCTCCCCCCCCCATCCCCACAAACCCACAGGCGGAGGTGGAGGCGCGGCTGCAGGGCATCAAGAGGGAGCACGAGGAGCTGGACCCGGCACAGTGAGTGTGACTATATCACACCATATCCGCCCACATCCCTCCCTGCCATCTTCATTCTCTGAACCCACAGGCGGAGGTGGAGGCGCGGCTGCACTGCAGGGCATCAAGAGGGAGCACGAGGAGCTGGACCCGACACAGTTTGACTCTCCCTTTACTCTCTCCTTGTCCTGATCCCTCCCTCGCATTCCTTCTCTCTATGTGGATCCCCACAGGTGGAGGTGGAGGCGCGGCTGCAGGGCATCAAGAGGGAGTACGAGGAGTTGGACACAGTGTGGTTCCTCGCAGCCTCGCTCTTCAAGGTATGGCTGTGTAGGGAGCATGTGTGATAGGGGGAGGCACGTATGGCCAGTGTGTGTGGCGCATGGGTGAGGGCATCAAGAGGGAGTACGAGGAGCTGGACACGGTGTGGTTCCTTGCAGCTTCTCTTTTCAAGGTACTGCTTCGTGTGCAGTGCAGGGTGACATGCTTGTTGTGGGCACCGTGAGGCAGGCGTGTGTGTGTGGGGCGTGTAACTGCAGCTGCATGTGTCTTTCTATCTATGCGTGCGCTTCTCTATCATATATCCGCGGTTCTCCGACCAACCTCTCACTTGCAGCAGATCCTTTCTATTCTCTTATCCCCAATTCTCTACAATATCTCGCCCCCCCTTTTTTTTCTGACATGCACTGTGCAGCCATCCCCTTGATAACTCGCATATTGTCCGCCCCCCAATCCCTTCACTCCTCTCCCCCGTTGCAACCCCCCAACCCCTCTCTCCATTCCACAACCTATTTCCTGTTCCCTGACTCACCAGACCCCTCTGCACCCCCATCCTCTCCTTCCCCCCCTCTCAACCCCCCATTCCCCCACCGCACACAGCAATACCCCTACGACACGCCATCAGAGACCTTCCCTTTTGAGATCTTCAAGCAGGCGTTTATTGCTGTGCAGTCATGCGTGGTGCACCTGCAGGTGAGACTATATTCTCCTCTTGTGCTTGAGTAAGGTACTAGGGGCACCTGCAGGTGAGAGTCAACACAGTCATGCGTGGTGCACCTGCAGGTGAGAGTCAATGCAGTCATGCGTGGTGCAGCTGCAGGTGAGAGTCAATGCAGTCATGCGTGGTGCAGCTGCAGGTGAGAGTCAACACAGTCATGCGTGGTGCACCTGCAGGTGAGAGTCAATGCAGTCATGCGTGGTGCAGCTGCAGGTGAGAGTCAATGCAGTCATGCGTGGTGCACCTGCAGGTGAGAGTCAACACAGTCATGCGTGGTGC